CACAGGTATTTCAAATGCCAGCAGGATCACCCATGGTGGACAGGTTTTAGCTGAGCTTCCGGACTAAGACAGACTAGAAAGAAGGACCTGGCACTCTACTTACAAAAAAACTGGCCAGTGAAAATCTTATGAATAGCAGTGGGACATTGTTTGATATAGTGCTGGAAGATGAGCCCCTCAGGTTGGAAGGCACTCAAAAGATGACTGGGGAAGAGCCGCCTTCTCAAAGTAAAGTCGACCTTTAATGACGTGGATGGAGCAAAGCTTTTAGGACCTTCATTTGCTGATGCTGCACAACCCAAAATTAGAAGAAACAGCTGCAAACATCCATTAATAATAGGAACGTGGAATGTACGAAGTATGAATCTAGGAAAATTGAAAGTCATCAGAAATGAAATGGAATGTGTAGAGATCAATATCCTAAGCATTAGTGAACTGAAATGGACTGGTATTGGCCATTTTGGATCGGATAATCATATGGTCTACTATGCCGGGAATGACCAATTGAAGAGGAATGGCTTTGCATTCATCGTCAAAAAGAAAATTTCAAGCTCTATCCTGAAGTACAACATTGTCAGTGATAGGATAATACCCATACACCTACAAGGAAGACTAGTTAATACAACTATTATTCAAATTTACTCACCAACCACTAATGCCAAAGATGAGAAAACTAAAGATTTTTACAAACTTCTGCAGTCTGAAATGGATCAAACATGCAATTAAAATGCATTAATAATTACTAGTGAATGGAATGCAAAAGTTGGAAACAAAGAAAAAGGAAAAGTAGTTGGAAAATATGGCCTTGGTGATAGAAATGAGGCCGGAGATCAAACGACAGAATTTTGCAAGACCAATGACTTCTTCATTCGAATACCTTTTTTCACCAATATAAACAGCCGCTATACAGATGGACCTCGACAGATTGAATACATAGGAATCAAACTGACTACATCTGTGGATAAAAGCTCAATATCATCAGTAAGAACAAGGCCAGGGGCCAACTGTGGAACAGACCATCACTTGCTCATATGCAAGTTCAAGTTGAATCTGAAGAAAATTAGAACACGTCCAAAGAGCCAAATTATGACCTTGAGTATATTCCACCTGAATTTAGAAACCATCTCAAGAATAGATTTGACTCATTAAACACTAATGACGGAAGACCAGACGAGTTGTGGAATGACATCAAGGACATCATACATGAAGAAGGCAAGAGGTAATTAAAAAGACAGGAAAGAAAGAAAAGACAAAAAAGGATGTCAGAAGAGACTCTGAAACTTACTCTTGAACGTAGAGTAGCTAAAGCAAAAGGAAGAAATGATGACGTAAAAGAGCCAAACAGAAGATTTCAAAGGGTGGCTGGAGAAGACAAAGTAAAGTATTATAATGAAATGTGCAAAGACCTGGAGTAAGAAAACCAAAAGGGAAGGACACGCTTGGCATTTCTCAAGCTGAAAGAACTGAAGAGAAAATTCAAGCCTTGAGTTGCAATATTGAAAGATTCTATAGGGAAAATATTAAACGATGCAGGAGGCATCAAAAGAAGATGGAAGGAATACACAGAGTCACTGTACCAAAAAGAATTGGTTGACATCCAACCATTTCAAGAGGTAACATATGATCAAGAACCGATGATACTAGCCTGTGAGCAGCCATCTAAGATATTCCACTGGTCTCACCCCTTCGGGAGCAAGGGAGAATGAAGAGAACAGGATACAAGGAAAAGAGTAGTCCAAAGGACTAATGGACCACAGCTACCACGGCCTCCAGCGGACTGAGTCTGGTTTAGCTAGATGGTGCCTGGCTACCACCACTGAACTACTCTGATCAGGATCACAACAGAGGGTCCTGGACAGAGCTGGAGAAGGATGTAGAACAAAATTCTAACACACACACACAAAGACCAGATTTACTGGCTTGACAGAGACTGGAGAAACCCTGAGAGTATGGCCCCCAGACACCCTTTTAGCTCAGTGATGAAGTCACTCCCGAGGTTCACCATTCAGCAGGGGACTTGACAGCCCCATAAAACAAAATGGGACTAATGAGGCACAGCAGTCCAGGGACAAGGACTAGAAGGCAGGAGGGAACGGGAAAGCTGGTGATAGGGAACCCAAGATTGAGAAGGGACAGTGTGGACATGTCATGGGGTTGTTAACCATTGTCATAGGGCAATATGTGTACCAACTGTTCAATGAGAAACTATTTGTTCTGCAAACCTTCATCTAAAGTACAAAAAAAAAAAAGAATTATCTATGTGAAATCAAACTGACAACAGGAACTCAAAAGGTTTGATGGGAAGCCTAGGGGGCAGTGAGTTGAAGATAATGCTGATGGAATAATTTGGAAAAGGATAGTGAGAACAGCAGCACAACTGGAAGAACGTAATTGATGTCACTGAATTGTACATGTAGAAATTTCTGAAATGGTGTATCTTTGGCTATGTACATTATCACCAAAAAAAAAAAAACGTCCTCCAAGGTCGAGAAGGGAGTGTTGACATGTCGTGGGGTTGTTAACCAATGTCATAAAACAATATGTGTACTGTTTAATGAGAAACTATTTGTTCTGTAAACCTTCATCTAGGGTGCAATACAACAAAAAAAAATTTTTTTTTAAAAAAGAACCTATGGTACTGAAGGAAGAAGTCCAAGTTGCACTGAAGCCATTGGCAAAAGACAAGGCTCCGGGAATTGGTGGAATACTAGCTGAGATGTTTCAACAAGTGGATACAATGCTGGAAGTGCTCATTTGTCTACGCCAAGAAATTTGGAAGACAGCTATCTGGTCAACCAGCTGGAAGACAGATCCATATTTCTACCCATTCCAAAGAAACAGAATGTGGAAATTATCAAACAATATTATTAATATTACACAGAAGTAAAATTTTGCTGAAGATCATTCAAAACTGGTTACAGCAGTACATCAACAGGGAACTGCCAGAAATTCAAGCTAGATTCAGAAGAGAATGTGGAATGAGGGATATCGTTGCTGATGTCCGATGGACCTTGGCTGAAAGCAGAGAATACCAGAAAGATGTTTACCTGTGTTTTATTAACTATGCAAAGGCATTCCACTGTGTGGATCATAATAAATTATGGATAACATTGCAAAGAATGGGAATTCCAGAACACTTAATTGTGCTCATGAGAAACCTGTACATAGATCAAGAGGCAGTCATTCAAACGGAGCAAGGGGATACTGTGTGATTTAAAGTCAGGAAAGGTGTTCATCAGGATTGTATCCTTTCACTATACCTATTCAATCTGTATGCTGAGCAAATAATCTGAGAAGGTGGACTATATGAAGTAGAATGGGGCATCAGGATTGGAAGAAGACTCACTAACAACCTGCGTTATGCTGATGACACAACCTCGCTTGCTGACAGTGAAGAGGATTTGAAGCCCTTATTGATGAAGATCAAAGACTACAGCCTTCAGGATGCATTACGTCTTAACATAAAGAAAACAAAATCCTCACAACTGGACCAATAAGCAACATCATGATAAATGGAGAAAAGATTAAAATTGTAAAGAATTTCATTTTACTTGGATTCATGATTAATGCCCATGGAACCAGCAGTCAAGAAATCAAACAACATATTGCATTTGGCAAATCAGCTGCAAAAGATCTCTTTAAGGTGTTAAAAACCAAAGCTGTCGCTTTAAGAACTAAGGTGCGCCTGACCCAAGTCATGGTGTTTTCAACTGCTTCATATGCATGCGAAAGCTGGACAGTGAATAAGGAAATCCAAGAACTGATGCCTTTGAACTATGGTTTTGGTGAAGAATATTGACTATACCATGGACTGCCAGAACAGTTAAATCTGTCTTGGAAGAAGTACAGCCAGAATGCTCCTTAGAAGTGAGGATGGCAAGACTTCATCTCATATACCTCGGACATGTTATCAGGAGGGACCAGTCCCTGGAGAAGGACATCATGCTTAGTAAAGCAGAGGGTCAGCGAAAAAGAGGAAGACCCTCAACAAGATGGATTGGCACAGTGGCTGCAACAATGTGCTCAAGCATAACAACAATTATAAGGGTGGGTAGGGTGGGGCAGTGTTCCGTTCTGTTGTACACAGGGTCACTGTATGTCAGAATCGACTCAACGGCACCTAACAACAACAACAACATCCATCTGATACTCCATTTCCTTGTGAAAAGTGAAGTCAGAGGCTCTTTTTTTTATACCCTCACAACAATCTTCATGGCCCTTTCTCTTTGGCCTCTTCCAAGAAGCAAAGAGAATTTCATAAGATTGGTAGGGGGATGAGAGGAAGGGAGTCAGAAAGAAATTTTGAACCATCTTTGAAGTTTGGATACTTTGGGCAGACACATGGGATGAACCATGAGGCTTCTGAAGCAGGTGCGCAATAAGCAGGCCTGCGGTTGACCTTCCCTGAAGGCCTGGACGACAGGAGGTACAGCAGGCAGGAATCACTGAGGGCAGCCTTCAGGAGGCGGCAGTGCAAGGAAGGGCCTTTATGGGCCCTGTGAACCCAGCATCACCTCCATTCCTAGGGTAACACGCAGAGCAGAGGTTCTCAAAATGTGAAACCCCGACCATCTGCATCAAAGTCACCTGGGAAGCATCCATTTAAAAAGCCACTTAGCTACCCACGCGCTGCATCCTCCACCCACTGAATCAGAAGAAGGTGCCAGATATCTGCATTTGTTTCTAAAAAACATCCTCCAGTGCTCCTTAGACCTGCTAAAAAATTTAACCTGGAAGGTTCAAAAACTCTCTGTGTCACAGAAACCCAGGGGGAGCAATCACAAAGCCCCCACTACCCTGCCTCATTTTTAATCACTTTCACAGCAGACCACGGAGCACCCGGCCAACCCAGAGACCAGTGGGTTGAAGATGTGTTTTCTGCTATCTTACTAAGAGCTGAGCAGCATTTCCTGCGCCCTATGCTTCATTAGCACATTAGTGGTATCGCTTCCTGTGACTGACTCTATGTTTCCATCCTGGCAAAGTGGTTTGTTCTTTTCTTTCTGCGGGTCGGGTCGGAGGAGGGGTGAGGGTTGGGGATGAGCTTCTCACTAAGCCTTTCACAGGCCTCTTAGCAGTCTCCCCCTCTGTGCCGCTCACGGTCCCATCTGACGACGGAGACCACGGATCATCCATGAGCTCCCCCTTCGGTAGCACCACATCAGGATGAGATCTCACCTCCGGCACTGGGCATTGTAGCCACATCCAGGTAGAATCAACCTGTGGATTTTGTATGTTGGGTCAACTCAGCCTGACATTTTAGGGGCAAGGACAAGCTAGGGAATTTGTCGGGGGGGGAAAGAAAGTTCTAGAAAGAAAGATTGAGAGCTTTCAAATGAAAGAAATAAAAACCAAGACTTTTGTTTGTGAGGGACTACAGTGAATACACATTGAAGAACAAGAAATCTTAAGTGTAAAAAGTTGTGAGTAAGCCTTCGTCTAAAGTGAGAATAGCAGCACAATTGGAAGAGCATAGTCGATGTCACTGAACTGTGCATGTAGAAATTTTTTTGAAATGGTGTATCTTTGGCTACATATATTTTCACCAAAAAAAAAAAAAAAAAAAGAAAGTTGAGAAGGGAGAGGGTTGACATGTTGTGGGGTTGTTAACCAATGTCATAAAACAATATGTGTGAAAAAAAAAAGTTGTGAGTTAGGGAGTATTTGGAAGAAATGGAGACCAGAAGGATTTCTCTAATTCTGTAATGTTATCTACTAACAAATTGTTTATATCACACATGATTACATGCAAAGTACAAACCAATTTTCCTTTTCTCCCTGGAGTCAGCAACTTAGGAAGAGCCAGGAGAAGTGACAGGCATGCTGGCTAGCTGATTATGACCAACAGAAGACTTAGGAGGAGAAGCTGAACCCGGCGACCATTGCAGGGGTCCATGTGACAATGAATCATACTGCCCCGGCCCGTTCAGAAACCAAAAGGATGACCTTGGAGCCCAGCACGCTGCAGGAAACTTGTGGCAGCCTAGACGGGTGAGTGAATCGGGTGGTGAGCCCCACCATCCTCAGATTTAGACAGGGTATCCTGGCCTGCCGGGGGTGCTTCTAGCACAGTGGTACTGCCACCCCTCACAACTGGGCTGAGGTCCACTAAGACCACCATATTGCAGGCTCAGAGGAGTTTTCTCAGGGATGCCGGAAGGAAAGGAATAGGTGTTCAGGAGAAAAGGAAGTTGCTGGGGAAGAGGAAAAGCTGTGAAACACAGAATTTTCTTAGAGCTAGCTGCCAGCCTGGCTAGATTTTCCACCCCTTTGGGGCCTCGATCACTAGCCTCAGTCTTTCCTATCTCAGGTCCCACTAATCACTCTTCAAAAACACTAGATCCCATCATGATAAAAACAAAAGGCTCACTTTTCCCAGGGATATGTTTTTAGGTCTTAAAAACTTACCAAGGAGGAAAAATGTAACAATAGTTGTAATGAAGATAAGCCTTTAGGACATAGAATCTCAAGAGCACACCATGGCTGTAAATTTTACTGCTATAGCTTTCAATCTCATACAAACAAAAATAAAAAGTCCAGTAGCAGTTGAAACTTCAGTATCACTGGCAGGTATAAACTTCAGTGCTATGAGAACAGAACAATCCAATGACATAAATTTCAAAACTATTGTAAATGTTATCACCATGACAAACAAGCACATGGGCATTGATGGAGAATGAATTCGTAGAAATTGTCAGAACCCTGTGGTGCCCACCCCCGCCATTTCTTTATTAACTCATGTATTTATTAATTCACTCATTCATTAACAAATACTCATCAGGCCCCTACTAAGTATCAGACACTGTCTCAGCACCAAGTAAACAGGATAGACAGGTCCCTGACTTCCTGAGGCTTACGGACAAGACGAGGGAGGCAGATGATAAACAAAGGAACGTATACTGTAACAGTCAGTCATACGCACTATGGTTTGATGGTTTCTTTGTTTTTAAATTGATAGGGTTTTGCTATGACGGTGCTTTGAAGGGAAAAAAAACAGCAGGGCTAGGAGACTAAGAGTAAGGAGTGGTCACGGAAGACCTGCCTGAGGAGGTAACATTTCAGAAGAGACCAGAATGAAATGAGGGACAGAGCCACGTAGGTGCTGGGAGAGAAAGCAGCAGCAGGTCTGAGATGGGGCCGTGCTTGGAATGAGCAAGGGACAGCAAGGCATCCTGGTGATCGAAGTGCAGGGGTCAGAGGGAAAGTGGTAAGAAATGAGGTCAGAAGATAGGCAGACCGGATCATACTGTGCCTTAACGTCCTCATGAGGTAGGGACTATGGATTTTATTCCAAGTGTGATGGGAAGCCACAACAGTTGCAAGTCAAGGAGGATTAGCCAACTCACAATTAGGGAGTGGCTCTGATTGACTGATTAGAAGGATCAAGTGGCCTCCCGTATTAAGAGAGTACGGTGGGAGCAAGCGCGAAAGCAAGGAGGCCAGTTAGAGAGGCTGGGAGCCTATTGAAAGGCCCTAGTGAAAGTCATGGTGGCTTGAACCAGGGTTGAGCACAGGAGGAGACAGAGAGTTGGTTGGATTTGGGATAGACAGATGCCCAGGGTAAAGCAGATGGAATTTGCCGATTGGCTGGACGTGGGGCATGGGAAAAAAAAAAAAATAAGAGCAGGCAAGGATGGCTGTGAGGTTCTGAGCCACTAGCTAATGGGAAACAGCAGAGGAGGAGCAGGTTTCTTCAAGGAGAACAGGAGCTCTGTTTTGGACATATTTGGTTTGAGATGGCTGTTAGGCAGCCTAGCGGAAACGTTGAGTAGAAAGTTGGATAAACAAACCTAGATCACAGGAGGACAAAAACCCTCACAGAGGTTCCCTGGCAGATGTCCTGGTTTATTTTGGGGGTAGCAGGGCTGCTACTGCATTCCTGCTGCAACCTCGCTTGACTGCTTCCTGTTACAGCAGGCACAGCCTCCTGGGGGTATAATTTGAATGCATTTCACAACCGATGCAAAGCAGCAACTCCAGACCTGCCTAGGAGTTGCAAGGTAGCACAGAACTCGTCCAGGGCAGTTGCATTAGTTAAATTCCACACAACAGCAGAGCGTTGCCTGGAGACCAGCTCCACAGCGTGGTGCTGTGGGGGTTACTCAAGTTCATGCAAGCTGGACTCTGCCACTGAGCCACTCCCTGATTCTGAGTTGGGTAAGCCTCTCCCCAGTGAAGCCAGGAAGCCCAGCACTGGGGAACAAAGGGAAGCAAGGGCAGATGGACTTGCCTTTGCAAGTATGGAGTTCAGTGTGGTGGAGTGAAAAGAGCATGATCTTTGGACCCAAACAGATGTAGAGCCACATTTCATCTCTGTTACTTCCTAGCTGTGTGATCTTTGACAAGTTATTTTAACTTTCTGAGTCTAAATCTCAGGTTCCTTGGCCACAAAGAGAGACAGGAGATTGTTATAAAGATTAAACAAGGTTCACTTGTAACCCCTGGCTCACAGCAGGCATTCAAAGGTCCCTTTTCCCCTTGTGTCATTCCCCCTATTCTCGAAGTCACCATTCAGGTGCCCTAGCCTTGGCTTTCCTTCATGGGGCCCCATTCTAAATCCTCGGGGTTCTAACTCCTGGAAGAAGCTTCTTCTCCTACCTCCCACCGTCCTGTGGCGGGGGCATGGCGCTTGGTTTTCCTCCTAGGGATAAAGACCAGAGCACCACCATCTTCTCAGGGTTTGCGGGGCTCCTTGCCACCCTCCTGGTCATCGCGGTTCTCTGCATCCTGTGCAACTGGAATAAACGGAAGAAGCGTAAGTTGTTTGTTCCAAAATCAAGTCACACTAGGGTTCATAATCGAGCCTGGCATTTAAAATCCAGTTTGGGTTATCTAATCCACCATACCTAGTGTCCCCGGGTGGAGCAAACAGTTAATGCACTCGGCTGCAAACCAAAAGTCCACCCAGAGTCTCCTTGGAAAAAAGACCTAGCGATCTACTTCCAAAAAAATCAGCCATTGGAAATCCTATGGAGTACAGTTCTACTCTGACACACGGGAAGTCGCCATGAATTGGAATCAACTCCATGGCAACTATTTTTTTAACCTCCCACACCAAGTTATTTTCCAGGAGGAGGTCTCTGTTCTTAACCTACACGCTGGTCACTGTCTCACTCAAGATCCTGAGCCGTGACTTTCAAATGCCTAGTGCTGATTCAAGTTCTGTTTTGAAAGACATTGGCCCAGTACCCCATGGTGCAGTTTTCTCTTCCTGCTTCTGTTCACTGAGTCCCCTATTTGTCTAGCTCAAATAGGACTTGTCAAGTCTGAAAATGTATTTTTTTATGATATATAGTGAGAGTGGGGAATATTCCCAGGGAACACTCCATTCGCAAGAGTCCTCATTCTGTGCAGCTGACCCCTGCCATGACCCCCGTCTCTCTCATTGCCTCGCAGGCCCAGTTCCTTACCTCCGAGTTACTGTCATGCCCTCGCTGACCCTGCCTCAGTGCAGGCAAAGATCCAAAAACATTTATGACTTCTTGCCTCGGAGACAAGAAGAGCCAGGTAGGTTCTTGCCCCTAATCCATGGAGCCCAGATATACTAAACTCCTCCCAGGACACACCTCTCACCACCAGAAGCAACTTCCTCCAAGCCTTCAGACCTATCTGCCCTCAGAGAGCACCAAAGAGAATGGGATAGATGAGCTGCAAGATGCAGCTCCAGTGGGGAGCCTGGAGGGCTCTAAAGAAGGAGGAGACTCTTCTGGGTTTGGGCTTTTGTTTTATATGGATATTAAGGTGACAGAGAAAAGAAAGGAGTATCTAGGTGTGAGGAAGGTACACAGAGGAGAACATGGCCACCAGCAAGGAGGCTACTACCCAGAAGCTTCCTTCCCAGCCTCCCCAGCCCCTTTGCTAATGTCCTCTAGTGCCACCAGCACTTAGGAGAGTACTAGGTCCCAGAGGGCATCGTCACTGTAGCTCTGACCCTCTGACCACAGAATACCAGGCCCCAGACTGGAGATACCCAGCACCTGACAACCCAGTTTCACCCGTGATGCAGGGATCGTCAGGAGGAAGCCCTTGGAGGACTCACTAACTATTTTCAGGTGTTCTCTGTCCTTGCAGGGAGACATCAGTCAAGGAGTATTCGCATTTTCAGTACTGAGAGGCTTCTCTCCAGAAATTCGGACAGCCCTACCCCTGAGCATGTGGTAAGAGCCAAACCCCTTGGGAGAAATGACAGATCTCTGGCAGAAAAACTGAAGTGAAAGAGTTCTGCTCTCGGATCTTGTTTCACAACAGCAGACAAGCGACGTGTCCTCTGGCACTCGCCCTGCAGCCCTATTAATAAATCGAGAGGACTAGCCTCAGGACTTCCCTACTGCCCAATGAGGAAAATTAAGAAAGATAAGAGCAAGTGCTTGAGATCTGAAGAAAGGCATCAGGGCACATGGATTCTGTGACATGATGTTGGGACTGAAATGGATTGTTTTAACAGACATGATAACTTGTTTATCCAAATGAGTGTTGACCCCTTCAAAGTAATCACCTCAGGAAGGTACACAAATATTCTAACAATGCTGTTGGTGCTCAAAATATATTTAAGCCCTGCTTTGGGGATTACTTCTAGGGCCTGTGTCATATCGTTTCAACTATCCTCAGTATTAGAAATATTCATAAGCTATTAACAGTACTGTACCTGAGGTATAAAGTGTTTCATCAAAGTGGGGCAGTTCTTTGAGGTTATTATTTTTGTTAGATGCCATTGAGTCAATTTTGACTCACAGTGATCCCATGTGACAAAGTAGAACAGCCCCATAGGATTTTCTAGATCTTTGCAGAAAGAGATCAGCCCGTCTTTTTCCCCAGGAGCCGCTGGGTGGATTCAAACTGCCGACCTTTCAGTTAGCAGCCCAGGGCTCAACGATTGTGCTACCAAGGCTCCTTATTCATTCTCTGAGGTTATAAAGGGAGAATTACAATTAATAACTACAACCCCATGTGTCTTATGATCTGGCTTTGAAGGAAGCTTCCAGGGAAGAGCCCAACAATAATTCTGTGAGGAGGTACCATATACCGTAGAGGGGCTACTTTGAAGAACACGGTACTTGTTTTCATAGATAAGTTCGTGTTTGTTTTGCTAAGGAACAGCCTCCTCCTCTGTTTCGTGGTCATCCTCAGGTAAGCAGTGATGCTCCCACTGCTGTTGATTTTGTTCATTGCCCAACCTTTCATTATCCAGAGGTTTAGGTTCAACTACTACACAGCCATCTCCACAAAGTCGACGCTTTTGCTTCCTCCTCTGCCTACACATCCCACTCCTTGGGCTCTGCTACTGCCTGCTCAGACTTCCTGGGGCAGCAAGTCTGAGGGGCTGATAAGGGCAGGGAAGAGTAAACTTCATTGGCAAAGCTCATTCCAGGATATGGGTAGGAACTGAGTGGATTTTGCATTTAGAGTTTAGGTCTCAAAGTGACTTAAGCCCCTAAAGATATTTGATTTGGACTCCACAGGATTTTAGGAACATTTGAAATCAGCTGTCAACATTTAAAGACAAAGAGATTTCACACTGAAAGTCCAGATTTCCAACTTTTCCTGAAAATTCAGAAGTTCTGGAAACATCCAGCCAGCATCCCTAAATGCCAATGAGCAACTGAGTCTGTGTGTCAGCTGCCCCATTAATAATAATGGCAAGGTTGTTTGTTTGTTTGTTTGTTTTTTTAGTGTTTTTTATGTACCAGGAGCTATTCTAAACACCAGTTGTCTTAGTTATCTAGTGCTGCTGTAACAGATATATCACAAGCAGGTGACTTTAACAAACAGAAATTTATTTTCTCGCTGTTTAGGAGGCTAGAAGTCCAAATTCAGGGTGCCAGCTCCAGGGGAAGGCTTTCTCTTTCTGTCACCTCTGGAGGAAGGTCCTTGTCTCTTCTGAGCTTCTGCTCCTGGGCGATCTTCATGTGGCTTGGTATGTCTCTTCCTCCATCTCTGCTTGCTTGCTTGTTTAATCTCTTTTATATCTCAAAAGAGATTGATTTAAGACATACCGTACACTAATCCTGCCTCATTTACATAACAAAGAAAACCCATTTCCAAATGGATTATAACCACAGATATAAGGGTTAAGATTTACAACACATATTTTTGGGGGACACAATTCAACCCATAACATTCCACCCTTTGGCCCCCCCAAAGTTCATGTCCTTGCCACATGCAAAATACATTCACCCCATCACATCATCACAAAAGTCTTAAATCAACTCTAACTTCAAAATCTCATCTTCTGAAGCGTCTAAATCAAACATGGGTGAGACTTTAGGCATATTCCATCCTAGGGCAAAACTCCTCTTCATCTGTGAACCTGTGAAATATAGAATACAGGTTATTCTATATTCTTCTAAAGGACAATGATAGAACAGGCACAAGGCAGACATTTCCATTACAAATGGGAGAAACTGGGGGGAAGAAGGGGATAACAAGCACTAAGTAAGTTCAAAACCCAGCAGAACAAAGTACATTAGCTCTCAAGGCTTGAAAATAAACCTTTCTTATCTGAGACCATCTGGGCAATGGCCCCACCCTCCAGACTCTGGAGGTTGGCCATGCCCTCTGGATTCTGGGTGGAGGCCCTTCAGCCCTGGGCTTCAGCTCTGCCTTCCAGGCAAGCCCACTGGGATGGCAACTCTGCTCCCTCAGCTTTGGGTGGCACCATTCTCCTAGTCCATCTGAGTGGCGACCCCACCCCCTTGGCCCCAGCAGGCCCTGTTCTTCTGCCCCTTGGGCATGGCAGCCCCACTCCCTCCGCTTTGGGTGGCAGCCCCACCTCCTGGCACACCCTAACGGCAGCCTCACATTCCAGAACCAAGTTAGAGAAGATCTGACTCTTTGAAACCTAGGAGGCTGTGGCCCCAGCCTTTGAGATCCAGGAGGCAGTGGCCTCACCCTTTGAAACCGAGAAGGCCCTGCTTCCCATGTTCCTCCCAACAGTTCTGCTGATCTCCGAGTTACTCCAGGGATGGTTCTTTGCTTTCATTGGATGACAACAGATGTAGTTCCTTTGACCTGTTTCCTGCCTTTAGAATTCCAAAAGCCAGGCAGCGTTCTCTCCTTTTGTTCTTTCTCTATCCCCTTCAGTCTAAGCTGATGGGTTTTCTGCTGTGGTAGTTGGTTAGAGGCATCAGTCATAGGCTTAATCTCTTTAGCAAAAGATTGTGTAGCCATGTCCTTGGTGAACATTCTAGGACACATGTTCTTAGTTTGTACAACAGAATTTTCCAAATCTTTCAGTTTTGTTTTCATTTTGCACAGTTCATTTTTAGGTCCATCTCTTTCCTCTTGCATTTTACTATAAGCGGCAAGGAGACAACATGTGACCCCTTTAAGATCTTGCTTAGAAATCTCATCAGCCAGATATCCAAATTGATCACTTATGAGTTCTACCTCCCAGCATATATTTGAACATAATTCAGAAAAGTTCTTTGTCACTGCATAAAAAGCATCACCCTTCTTCCATTGTCCAATCACTTGTTCATCATTTTAAAACTTCACTGGAAGCACATTTAACATCCACATTTCTAGCAACATTCTGTTGCTAGTGCCATATGTACAGTCATCCCCCCGTATCTGCGTGGGATTGGCTCCAGGATCCCCAGCAGATACCAAAATGCAAGAATGCTCAAGTCCCTTATATAAAATGACATAGTATTTGCATATAACCTACATATATCCTCCCATATACTCTAAATCATCTCTATATTACTTATAATACCTAATACAGTGTAAATGCTATGTAGAAGTTGTTACATAGTACTGTATTGTTTAGGGAATAATGACAAGATTCGAAGTGAACAATGTTCAAACAACGAGTGCTAGAGAGTGACTGAGGATCTGTGAAAGAAGGGGAGGCTACAGCAGGGTATGCCTACACATCATTTTATTCATGTGGATTCAGTATAGTGCTCAGCATGCAGCAAATTCAAGTTTCGCTTTTTGGAAATTTTTTTTTTTCTGATTATTTTTGATCCACAGTTGGTTGAATCCACAGATGTGGAACCCACAGATACGGAGGGCTGACGACTGTATTCTCTAAGACGATGGAGATTTTCTCTACAACTCTCCTCACGTCCTTCTGAGCCCTCACCAGAATTGCCTTTGATGTCTATAATTCTACCAACAGTCTCTTCGAAGCAATCTAGGCTTTTACTATCAGGCACCTTAAAACTCTTTCAACCTCTATCCATCACCCAATTCCAAACGACTTCTACATTTTAGTTATCTGATAGAGCAGCACCCCACTCTTCCAGTACCAAATTCTTAGTTATCTATTGCTGCTACAACAGAAATACTACAAGTGGGTGGCTTTAACAAACAGAAATTTATTTTATCACAGTTTAGGAGGCCAGAAGTCTGAACTCAGGGTGCCGGCTCTAGGGGAAGTGTATCGCTCTTTGTCAACTCTGGAGGAAGGCCCTTGTCTCTTCTGAGCTTCTCCTGGGCAATCTTCATATGGCTTGGTGTCTATCTTCCCCCATCTCTGCTCCTCTCACTTGTTTAACCTCTTCTATATCTCAAAAGAGATTGACTTAAGACACACTGTACACTAATCCTGCTTCATTAACATAACAAATAAAACCTATTCCCAAATGAAGTTATAACCATACATATAGGGGTTAGGATTCATAGCACATATTTTGGGGGGACACAATTCAATCCGTAACACTAGTAATCTATTTTCTCTTCACAAAAACCTTATGAGGTTGATATTATGATTATCCCCACCTTATAAATTAGAAAACTATGACTCCATGCATTTGGTTAAGAGATTAGGTAACTTGCCCAAACTCTTTCATCAAGTAAGTGGTGAGGCTGCGATTAGAAGCCCTCAGTTTGAACCTAAGCCTGTACCTATGCTACGTTGCCTCTCAATGCATTCTGAGGAGGCTGACTTTTTCTGGTTTATAATACTGCCCTCCCACTCCCCACTGAACTCCCTCACCGCAATTTTTCATCACAATTTCACTATTGTTTTTCTTAAACTCTGCCCACTTCCCTAATACCTACTAGGCATCTAAAGCCTTGCAGTTTGAGGTCCTTCATTTAAAGCTTCTTCCATCATGGGGAAAAAATATACTGGGCAGGGGAGAAGAAAAGACTTGTCCATAGTTCTGTCTTCCATCCTATCACTGGCCTTCTCTTCTTCCCCACAGCTCTCACGAGCAGGCAATGCCCTCCAGGTGCATGCAGTCCATACCTGTGCCATGGGGTATGCAGTGGGTGTCTATGACAACACTATGGTGCCCCAGATGTGTGGGACCTTCACGCCCTCAGCACCCTACGTCAATGTCAGAGCTTCCAGAGACGACCTGAGCATTTCTTCAGAGGATTCGAGGGATTATGTCAATGTGCCCAGAGCAGAAGAAATTGCTGAGAATCTAGCTTCCAACTCCCCCAGAAATCTGTCTGTCCTCCCAAGTACACAGGAGCTGGACTTTACTGAGAAAAGAGACGTGGGCTGTGGGGACACCAGTGACTGCACCAGATTTTGGTCTCCAGGAACTGAGAGCAGCAATGAACTCAGTGATGAGGAGAGCTCTTCTCAGACCTCAAATGACTACGTCAACGTGTCAGAATTAGATCTTGGGGCCGCCCAGAGGGAGAAGCCCTGGACGACTTTTCAGTGCTGCAGAGATTATGAAAATGTCCCACCAGCAGATGTCAATGGAAGCCAGCAGCAGGCAGAGGAAGAGGCGACATCCTTAAACACAGACCATGTGAAGGGCAGGACAGATGCTCTGGGGACCCACACTCAGCCTGTCATGCAATCAGGCAGTTTCCTTGTTTTAGGGGATCATATGGCCTTTCAGCCATTGGCACAGAGTGGGAATAGTCAGATGAAGCATGGAGAAGAGACGCCAAGTGAGGACGATAGTGACTACGAGAATGTGCTAGCTGCCAAGTTAGGAGACAAGGACTCTGAGCAGGGATCGGGCACACAGCTCCTTCCTGATGAATTAAGACCCAGCGACCCAGCTGGAAAGTTACATGGAATGGTTTATCCTGCTGGATCCACAGCCACCACAGAGTCCAGTGATGATCCATGACCACTCTAGTATCCCAGTGGATTCATTTGGTTGGGCTCAAAAGAGGCTGAGGTGAGTAGCGAACTAAGAGGCTAAGAGGGAGCAAAGGTTTGGGGAAGCCAGATAGGAATTCTTGTCAAGCAAGGTGTTGTTATCTGTCATACCAGCCTAAGAATGTGTGCTGAATCTGCCTTATAGGACTCTTGTGGAAGATAAGAAATGGGATAGTACCTTAGTGCCTATTGGAAACATGAAGTCATCTAAAATCATTACCTTCACTAAAACCCAGCTGCAGAGCAACAGTAGAGATTATTTTATAATCTAGGCAGAAACCAACAGGAAGGAAGAAGTCAAGGGGAGGGTGTTTCCGCTTTAAAAAAGTACAGACATTCAAATGCTGGAGAGGATGCTGAGCAACAGAAACTCTCAGTCATTGCTGGTGGATCACAAAGCATTTAATAGCCACTTAGGAAAACTGTTTGGCAGTTTCTTATAAACATACACTTAGCATATAACCCAGACATTCCAATACTACAGATTACTCAAGTGAAATGAAAACTTACGTTCACACAAAAGCTGGTACAGGAATGTTTGTGGCAACTTTATTCATAATTGCCAAAAACTAGAAATAACCCAGATGTCTTTCAACGGGTGCGTGGATAAACAAACTGTGGCACATACTACTCGGGATTAGAGTCGGGATATAATGGGAACTCAGATTTATTTTCATATGTATATAAATAGATCATTACAAAAATAAACACGGATTTGTGTGCATACATGGGTTACTATACATACGTGTATTTTTCTAGCTCTATGTACCTAGGGCGCCGAGGAGTAGTGACATCCCATAACAACTAGCACACCCAGAACTTAGATATTAGTTTCAGAACACTATTCTCCAATCAGTGAAGTATTGATTCATTCAACAACATGGGTGAAGTTATTTTTAATAGACTGTTTTTTAGAGCAGTTTTTAGTTTATAGAGAAATTGTGCAGAAAATACAGAAAGTTCCATATATTCCCTCTCCCTCTGCATACTGCTTCTTCTATTATTAACAATGTGAGTGAATCTTAAATGCATTTTGCTAAGTAAAAGAAGCTAGACCAAAAGTCTATCTATTGTATGATTCCATTTATATGACATTCTGGAAAAGGCAAGACTACAGGCATGGAAAACAGATATGTGGTTGCCAGAGGCTGGGAGAGGGTGTGAATTTACTACAAAGGGATTGCACAAGGGAATTTGGGGGTGATAGACCTGTTCTGTATAGGAGTCCTGGTGGCTCAGTTGTTAAGCACTCAGTTGCTAACTGAGAGGTCAGTGGTTCAAACTCACCAGTGGCTCTGTGGGAGAAAGATGTGGCAGTCTATTCCCATAAATATTACAGTCTTGGGAACCCTATGGGGCAGTTCTACTCTGTCCTACAGGGTCGCTATGAGTCGAAATTGACTTGACAACAATGGGTTTGTTTTTTTGTTTTTAGACCTGTTTTGTATAGTCCTGTGATAGTAGATCTATGACTCCATGCATTTGTCAAAATACAAAGAAATGTACACCACCAAGAGTGACATTTTCTGAATTAAAGCTTAAAAAAAAATTAGCCATAATGTCAGAGGGACCCAGGATAGAATGCAGACTGTGACAGATGAATCTACCTGCTTTATAAATGTATGTATGACACAATGTCGCTGAAAGCGGTGGGAGGAAATGAGCTGACGTAAGTCACTTTCGAAACCAGTGTTTTGACTGGATATTATAAGGCTGAAAACATACAACCTGTACACAAATACTTCAATCTAGTTGGAAGATCTGTATCTCAAAGGAGTAGGGTTAGCAATTCTGAGACCACTTTACACATATACTAACTCATTGCTATAGAGTCAATTCCGACTCATAGCAACCCTATAGGACAGAGTAGAACCGCCCCATAGAGTTTCCAAGAAGTGGCTGGTAGATTCGAACTGCCGACCGTTTGGTTAGCAGACGAGCTCTTAACCAGTGCACCACGAGGGCTCCACACATATACTAAGGTTGAACCAATAGGTAAATATATTGTAGGTAACCGCAGCCAGGTTTCTCACTGTCAGAGAAAGAAGTTACAAATAAGCAAGTGAGAAAGGCTAGAAGGAATGCTGTGATGCTGGATTAGAGCTGGGGATACAATATGAACTCAGGTTTGTTTTAATACATATACAAATAGATCGTTACAGAAATAAATACAGATTTGTGTGCACACACATGCATATATTTTCTATCTCTGTGCACCGAGGGCACCTGGGGGCAGTGACACCCCATAGCAACAAGCACACCTAGCACTTGGATCTTGGTTTCAAAATACTATTCTTCAATAAAAGGAATCAGGGCTCCTTGGAGAAATGGCTGGTTCTAGGGCTGGGGCAGGGAAAATACAACATGAGCCTGGAGCATCTTATAGGGCCCCAAGGTAAGGAAGTACCAAAAGAAAAGAAAAAAATATGAGGGCATGTCAAAAACAGCCAGCTGAAAGAGCTTCTAATGGCAAGGTTGGAACAAGCTGAGCAATAAAAATAAATAGTTAAAATATTGATTGATTACCCAAAGAATAAAATAAATATCCATGATTCCATACCAATATAAATAAATGATTGAATAAATCAGTCAATTGGAGGAAAGGGATAAATCTTCCTTACAGATGAATTTCAAATAACAAATGTAGAAGGAATGAGGGAAGTAGAAAAATATCACCATTAGGGAATACTTCTCAGCCATAAAGAGAAATGAAGTTCTGATACATGCTATAACATGGACGAACCTTGAAAACATTATGCTAAACGAAATGTCAGACACAAAAGAACAAATATTGTATGACCCCACTTACATGAAATATCTAGAATAGACAAATGCATAGAAACAAAGTTTGTCAGTGGTTACCAGGGACGGATGGGAGAAGGAAATGGGGATTTATTGCTGAAGGCACACTGAGTTTCTGTTAAGGGCAACGAAAAAATTTGGGAACGGATATTGGTGACGGTGGCACAAAATGATGATTGTAATTAACATCACTGAATTGTACCTGTAAAAAATGTTGACATGGCAAACGTTTTGTTATACATATTTGTATCACAATTTAAAAAAAAAGAAAAAAATCACCATTAGGACACCACAGTAATAATTGCTATAGGTAAGTCCGCTGATGAAAGCTAAAATTAGTGGGTAACACTTTAAGGAGAGACAAGACAGATACATAGCCTTGAGGACGCTCCCCCTGTCACGGTTTGAATTATGTCCCCCAAAAAATGTGTATATCAGTTTGGCCGGGCCATGATTCCTGGTACTTGTGATTTTCCTATATGTTGTAAATCCTGCCTCTATGATGTTAATGAGGGAGGATGGGTGGCAGTTGTGTTAGTAAGGCAGGACCTGATCTGCAAGACTGGATTGTGTCATGAGGCAATCTCCTGAGATATAAAAGACAGAAGTGAGCAGTGAGACAGGGGGACCTCATACCATCAAGATAGCAGTGCCGGGAGCAGAGCGCGTCCTTTGGACCAGGGTCTCTGCGCCGAGAAGCTCCTAGTCCAGGGGAACACTGACGAGAAGGCTGACAGAGAGATAAAGACATCCCCTGGAGCTGACGCCCTGAATTTGGACTTTTAGCCTACTTTGCCTGTGAGGAAATAAACTTCTCTTCGTTAAAACCATCCACTTGTGGTATTTCTGTTATGGCAGCACTAGATGACTAAGACACCCCCTAAATATTTATTCACGACTGTGGTGGTTTTAACCCATGTCTATAAATTCTTTGAAACTGCCCCTCCAGGAGGTGGAGCTTAATTCCCTTTCCCCTGAGTGTGGCTGGATGTAGTGGCTCATTTTTAATGAGTAGAGTATGGAAAGGGAAAAACAGTAACTACACAGTGGAGAAACTTGGCAGACATCACCTCTACCAAGTGGTCAAGGTTAACATCACCAGTAACAAGTCAATGTTACTATCACTTCACCTCTGTGGTATTCTTCCTCAAAATCCATAGCCCAGTCTAATCATGAAAAAAAGTCAGAAAACCCACAGTAAATGACGTTCTGCAAAATACCTGACCAGAACTCTTCAAACGTGTCAAGGTCATGAAAGACAAAGACAGACTGAGAAACTATCACAGACTGGAGGAATGCTTGGACAGGATAAAGGCAGATTGTTGCAGGAGCTAGCTCTTCCATGTCTGGTAACTGTGCCATTGTATAGGCCTCTAAAGTTCACAAGTAACCAGCATTTAAATACCTGCCACACAGATGACACTGTGCCAGTTGGGCATTGATGGCCAGTCAGGGCTAGCCAGGGAAGCAGCGACAAGCAGAGAGAGGGGACAGCAGCCTCACCTAGGCAAGTAAGGAGAGATTTGTATCAACTGTGAGAATGAAGTTTACAACAGAACCAAATCTCAAAGGCTGAAATGAAAGAATTCTCACAACCAAGAGTGGCTGGAATTTCATAGAATCGGAATAAAAAGTTGTTAAAAGAACTACCACCCAGTGGGAAAGAGAGGTCCAACATTCCACAGTTGAGGGGCAGGTCCCAGAAAAAATAAAGCCAACTCATGTTCATATCCCGAGTTGGATACCTTAATAAACCAGTTATACTTACATACATTCTCTCAAACTGAGAATGATTGATAAATTGTAGATTGTCTTACATTAGATAGGTTAACTTGTTTATTTTTCATTCTAAGAATTTTTACAAACAAATTGATGCAAGACTTTTTAAAAAATAATGTAATTCTTTCTTTCTCCTTATGGTTTTATTTTCTCATTTTACTTATCAGGAAATTTTGAATTAAATGGAATACCCATTGCAGTCATTGTCTCATCTCAATTGCCTGATAACACTAAACGTGAGGAAAGTTTTTCAAGATCAGGAATGAGAAGTAGATGTAAAGATAACTAATTCATTGTGATTCTTCGATTAGTTAAATATACTCAATTAATTACTCAAACGTGTATTATAGTGATGTGTTCTCATTCAGAATTCTGTTTGGTATGAAATGCAGAGGTTTGCTAGGTCTCCTGCATCCTTCTATAAAGACCCTGTCCTCGAAGGGTAAGCAGAAGACATAACTTGATGTCTTTCTTGGATCTGCCCTCTCTGAACCTCTCTTAGTTACCTTGGGCTGGATCATCATTCCTGGGTTTCCCGTGGGCTGAGGGCCTGTACTGACTTGCAAATACTTCCAGGAACTCTGAGTCTTAAAACAGTCAATAAGTGGATGCCCTACCTCCCTGGAGTTAGGGGGAAATGGAAATAAACACTTCCTCTTGCCAACCTTTTTCTTCAGCTTTCCCATCCCCAGACTGGAAAGGTGGCTGTACATTTCTACCCTGAAGGGTTAGGACCATTTCAGAAGAATAGGACAACATAACCCGAACTTTAACCATTTCCTCCTATCTCAGACACTCTTTCGACTCGCCAGGAACAAGGCAAGGTGCCTCAAACCCTTCACAAGCAAGCAGTTTCCCAGGCAAGGCTGGCTTCATGGGCACACGTGTGCAGTTGCCCAGGGACAGCTCAGCTGTCGCCATCTTGAAATTCTTAACTTTGAAAGAAATTCTTCTTTATGAGCTTATGTTTGTAAATAAAATCTGCTGGGACAATGCAGGCTGCATGTGGGCAGAGGAGATGCACATAATATGCATATCCACCACTCCTTGTGGCTCTATTTGCATATAGCTTTGATGATGCCCCATAAGTACTGAATTCTGTTGGACCCACAATTCGCATGTCTCAAAGTAAGTACAAGAAAAGTGTGTGATGTCCACAACTGAGTAAGCAGGGGCTCTGACAGTCCTGAGAGACCACAATTTCTGTTCAAACCAGAGCTTGCTTTAAATCCAGAAAGAGGCAATAGTGTTCTAAGAAGCACAAATGACTGAGGAACCCTATTATATCCTTTCTTACTTGTATTACTTTGCTGTAATACTTAACCACTTACACTGAAAATAATGACACAGAAGGAAAGGGACAGTTAGGGCAGCTCCTCATAGTTCCTTTTCCTTTGATTTTCTACCTTTGATTTACTGATGTAGTCTTTCCTTATTCATCAGTTAATCAAAGGTAGAGAGTATTGGTAGGATGTGTGTATATCAAGAAGCAAAATAAAAACAGTTGAGTTAGTTTTGTGCAGTGTTTCCACTGTTGTGGTAAGAATTAAATAGATACATATGTACAAGCTGCAAAATAAAATTAGTATAGTTTTGGTGACTCCACAGACAAGTTAAACACTCATGTTTGCATTTAAAACAGGCATTGCACAACGTAAAGATGAATGGTAAAATTCATGCTAACAATTTAAAATTTTTATGTTTTTTATTTAAAGAATGCATTAAGAAGTATCTTAGTCTGGGTTCTCCAGAGAAGCAAAACCAGTGAAGTGTATAAATATATATATAGAGAGATTTATATCAAGGAAATGGCTCACATGGTTGTAGAGGCTGGAAAGTCCCAAGTCTGTGGGTTACGCTGGAGGCTTCTCCTGGTTCACGTAGCTGCAGGGGCTGGCGAGCCCAAGATCAGCAGGTCAGACAGCAGGCCTCTGGCTCACAGGCTGTGGAGGCCAATGAATCCCAAGATGGGCAGGTAAGATGGCAGGCCACTGGCACACAAGCTCCAGAGGCTGATGAATCCCAAGATTAGCAGGTAAGGTGCTAGTTCAAGTCTCAAGAACCAGAGGTCAGCTGAACAGGAGCCAGCTGCAGGATCCAGGGCAAGCAAAATCCAGCAAGCTTGGCCAGAAAATCCATCCATATTGGATGCAGGCCACACCCCCCAAGGAAATTCCCTTTCAACTGATTACTCATAGCAGATCTCATCATGGAAGTGATTACATTACATCAGATCTCATCATGGAGGTAATTACATCACTATACGACTGCCAAACCACATCATAACTGCCAAAGCACTGTGAATCATGGCCCAGCCAAGTTGACACACAACCTTAACCATCACAAGTAGTAAATAAAAGACACTATGACAAATCAAGAGAGAAACCATAGAAGAAAGGAAAAAGCTTTATATTTTAGCACCTTTAATGATATTTTTTCCTTTTTTTTTTTTTTTTTTTTAGCAAGAAGCCCCACAAATTATGTAGCCAGCCCTGCTCTCATGGGTCTGCCTTCCATGGTCACGTTTATGTGCTTACTTGAGTCCCTCCACAGGATTATGGAGTATTTCACTTTCCCCTTTGTTACAGACTGAATTGTCCCCAAAAAATATGTATTGCAAATCCTAACCCCTGTATCTGTGGATGTTATCCCACGAGAACAGAGTTTTCTTTGTTATGTTCATGAGGCTATATCAGTGTAGGGTATATTTTAAGACAATCACTTTTGAGATATACAAGGAGCAGATGAGGCACAAAAGCAAGCAAGCACGAATGGAGGAAAGATAGATGGAGATCTCCAAGAAATACCCGGAAGAACGCTAGAGAAGCTGAGATAAGAATTGTCCCCCCGAGTAGGCTGAAAAAGCCTTCCCCTAGAGTCAGTGCCCTGAATTCAGACTCCTAGCTTCCTATCTGTGAGAAAATAAATTTCTGTTCATTAAATCCATTCACTTGTGTTATTTCTGTTATAGCAGCACTAGATTACTAAGACACATCTCCAGCCCAAATCAAATACGATCCTTCTCACAAGAAGAGTAATTGCTCCCTCAGTCCTTCACTCTCACCCAGCATGCTATGCCTGCAGTCTTGAATTTCAGCTGGATAGACAGAAATGGCCACCCCCACCTGTGCCGGCAGATCCCTGTATGGAAAAACAGACCCCAGCCCAAGGGGTCAAATGGATAGGATTTTTCCATCTAAGTTTCCTTTTTGTGATTGCATCAAAGCAAGATGTAGACCTCTGGCTGTTTCCTTCAATTAGGAAAGCTATTAAAGTAATAAATCTTAAAACCATGGAAGTTCCATAAAGAGGCATGGGAAAAAGTTTCATAATCTCAGAGTGGGAAAGGTCTTTCTAAACATGAATGCAAACCTAGAAAGCTATAAAAAGATTGACAAATTTGACTACTGTATTGGTTTTCTATTGCTGCTGTAACAGATCACCACAAACTCAGTGGCTTTAAACAACTCAAATTATCTTACAGTCCTGGAGGTCAGAAGTTTGAAATGAATCTCACAGGGCTAAAATCAAGACGTCAGCAAGGCTGCATTCCTTTGGGAGGCTCCAGAAGAGAATCTGTTTCTTTGCCTTTTCCAGGTTTTAGAGACAGTCTGCATTCCTTGCCTTGTGGCCACTTCCTCCATCTTCAGAGCACATCATTCCAACCTATGTTTCTGCCATCATACCTTCTCTCTGACTCTGACTCTCGTCTCCCTCTTATAACAACCCTTGTGATTATATTGGGCCTACCCCAATAATCCAGGATAATCTTTCCATCCTAAGATCCTTAACTTAATCACATCTGCAAAGTTCCTTTGCCTTGAAAGTAACAAATTCACAGGTTCTGGGGAGTAGGACAGCTTTGGGGGGCTTTTTTCTAAATCGTACTGTAAATGAAGGTTTACAGAACAAACTAGTTTCTCACTAAACAGTACACATATTGTTTTGTGACACTGGTTACCAGCTCCACGACATGTTATCACTCTCCCTTCTTGATCTTGAGTTCCCTATTACCACCTTTCCTTCTCCCTCCTGCCTTCTAGTCCTTGCCTCTGGAATGGTGTGCCCCGTTAGTCTCATTTTGTTTTATGGGCCATCTCATCTAAGGCTGTAAGAGTGAACCTCAGGAGTGACTTTATTACTGAGTTAAAAGATGTCCAGGGGCCATACTCTCGGGGGTTTTCCCCTCTGTCAGGCCAGTAAGTCTGGTCTTTTTTTGTGAGTTAGAATTTTGTTCTACATCCTTCTCCAGCTCTGTCCAGAACCCTCTGTTGTGATCCTGGTCAGAGCAGTCAGTGGTGGTAGCCAGGGCACCATCTAGCTGTCCTGGACTCAGTCCGGTGGAGGCCTTGGTAGCCGTGGTCCATTAGTCCTTCGGACTAATCTTTCCCTTGTATCTTTTCTTCATTCTCCCTTGCTCCCGAAGGGGTTAGACCAGTGGAGTATCTTAGATGGCTGCTCACAGGCTTTTAAGGCCCCAGACGCTACTCACCAAGGTAGAATGTAGAACATTTTCTTTATAAACTATGCTATGCCAATAGAGCTAGATGTTCCCCGAGACCATGGTCCCCACAGCCTGGGGGGCCATTATTTTGTCTACTATAACCGTATAACAGTTTGGTATCTCTGGTGATAGGAGAATGTGATAATACTGAAGCCCTGGTGTAAGATTCAGAAAAGTAAAAAGATGCAAGCACACACAGGCACATACACATCTGGGCTTCAAAAGAAGAAATGAGAAAGTAGGAAGTAGGCTGCTAGGCCTAGCACGTTTGCTGGTTAACTGATAAACTGATTTAGATTATGTACTAGATATTAATTTAGGGGAAGTGCTTATCACAGCAAACATGAAAGAAGCAGCCACCAATGACCTGGGAGACACCAGGCAGACACACCAGGGGAGGCCTCCTGTTGGCTACATTAATGCAAGATCCGTAGGTAACTTGCACTCAGAAGATGAGAATCTCCGACAAAAACTCAGTTTTGTCTCAGGTGTGCTGGAGGACTCTCTATAAAAGAGAAAGCCCATTCTTGACAATTCCAGATCAAGCTAAGGACTCACGGCATGATTCTCTAAAAGTGTTTTAATGTTGTGGGATTTCACACACAAAAAATGTGTATTCAACTGTTATTGGGTGGAATGCTCTAAAAATGTCAATTAGGTCAAGTAGATTGATGGTGTTGTTCAGGTCATCTAAGTCCTTCCTGCTTTTCCATCTGCTTGTTCTATCAATTACTCAGAGACGAGTGAGTCTTGGAGTCTCCAAGTATTGTTGTGGATTTGTCTATTTCTTTTTTCAGTTCTACTAGCTTTGCCTTCATGGATTTTGAAGCTCTGTTGTTAGCTGCATGCCCATTTAGGATTGCTATGTCTTTTTGGTGAACTGATTCTTTTATCATTGTATAATGTCCCCCTTTGTCACTGGTAATATTCCTTGTGATGAAGTCTACTTGGTCTGACATTAATGCAGCCACTCTACTTCCTCTTTTTTCCAGTTTAATTTTTTTTTAACGTTTATTTTGAAGTGATTTTAAACTTACAGAATAGTTGCAAAAATGATATACAGAGTTCCCATAGGTCTGTCTCATATAAGAACAGCTAAGGTGCGCCCAGGACATGTACAGGTTCATACACAGGATAGATGATGCCCCCTCCAGTTCTCTCCTCCTCAGGATTCCTCCCATACTCTCTGGCCTTCAGAGCCCCTTTTTCTGGTTCCTCTCGCCAGAAAGCTGGGGTTTCAATTGGAATTTTAGTCGCCTGCACTACCACCAAAGTGCAGCTCCAGAACTAGGGTCCACCTTCAGAAACAAAAGCTGGAGAGGGAAAAAAAAAAAAAATTGAGGATTTCACAAACATACACACACGCTTAAGTCCCCTTTTCCTGGTTCTCCTTTCCAGAAAGATGGGGTTTCTATCACAGTTTTAGCCTCCTGTGCCCCTACCACACAATTCTGCAACTGGAGTCCGCTCTCAGGTCAAAGCTATAAGAGAAAAGAGGGGAAAAAACCAGGAAACTCACTCCTGTATGGATCACTTCTCCAAGTTTTGACTCCCCTCCACAATTCACCTTCTTCTGTTTGCCCTTCAAGGTCCTCATGCAGTTGTTTTTGTATTTTGTCCAGGGTCTTTAATGCTAATCCACAGGAGAGAAAAGCTGTAGTGGGCTTATTCTGTCTTATATAGAACTGGAAGCCTCACTTTTTCTGTGTTTGAAATATTTTATCCAAAAAAAAATGTTATGGCTTATTCAGCCTAATGCAGAGTCCATACTGGTAGACTATGTTGGTTAAGAGTCTTTGAAATGTGATGGTTGGAATGTTACACAGCAAGGTTGAGAACCACTGATTTGGCAAAGCTATGGTTTATCTGCAGTTAGTTCTGGCCACTCTGAGCCTTAGTCTGTCAGCCAAAGGTCAGAGGAAACTGGTTCAGCTGGCCCCTCCCTGAGACTTAGCCCATTGTTTTTTTTTTTTGTTTGTTTGTTTGTTTTAATGCTTTTCTCAACGGGCTTAGGCTCCTAATTCATTCATTTTTGCTTTCCTCTGCTTTCTAGATCTTAAGCCCTCTCAGGTTGTTTTGTCTGTGTGCTTGGGGAGACCTAAGCAGTTCTTAAAACCAGAGGACCAAATTAATCCTTAACTGCCTCCAGGAAGCCCAGGTAAGGAAGGGACTCTGCTTTATGCCTTTGTAAAGTTCTTATCCTATGGCCAGCTCTAGATTCTTTACCTGCTCAGATGTAAG